ATTAAGTAAAATCAATAAATGTAAGGTTTGGATTCAATCCTACCTACCATGAGTGACTCATATGTCCAAGATGTTAGACAAATGTCTTGTCCTTATAAATGGAAAAGGATCCACTTGATGACAATCTTAGGAAACCCCACATCCTAACTGTTTATCGTATATCGTACGGTCAGTTTTCGTTAGATATTATTTGTGTTTAATTTTAAATAATAAAAATTAAATGATTTCTAACCGCACGATATATGATGAACGGCTAAGATATAGGAATCCCTAGAATCCCCACAATATGGATCCCAATGGGATCCAATTCCCTTATAGATGACCTAAGATGTAAGGCGTAGGTTGTTTTCCTGGTTGCTTTTTAAATTAAGTAAAAACAATAAATGTAAGGTTTGGATTGAGTCCTACCTACCATGAGTGACTCATATGTCCTAGATGTTAGACAAATGTCTTGTCCTTATAGATGGAAAAGGATCCACTTTATGACAATCTTAGGAAACCCCACATCCTAACTGTTTATCGTATATCGTACGGTCAGTTTTCGTTAGATATTATTTGTGTTTAATTTTAAATAATAAAAATTAAATGATTTCTAACCGCACGATATATGATGAACGGCTAAGATATAGGAATCCCTAGAATCCCCACAATATGGATCCCAATGGGATCCAATTCCCTTATAGATGACCTAAGATGTAAGGCGTAGGTTGTTTTCTTGGTTGCTTTTTAAATTAAGTAAAATCAATAAATGTAAGGTTTGGATTCAGTCCTACCTACCATGAGTGACTCATATGTCCTAGATGTTAGACAAATGTCTTGCCCTTATAAATGGAAAAGGATCCACTTGATGACAATCTTAGGAAACCCCACATCCTAACTGTTTATCATATATCGTACGGTCAGTTTTCGTTAGATATTATTTGTGTTTAATTGTAAATAATAAAAATTAAATGATTTCTAACCGCACGATATATGATGAACGGCTAAGATATAGGAATCCCTAGAATCCCCACAATATGGATCCCAATGGGATCCAATTCCCTTATAGATGACCTAAGATGTAAGGCGTAGGTTGTTTTCCTGGTTGCTTTTTAAATTAAGTAAAAACAATAAATGTAATGTTTGGATTGAGTCCTACCTACCATGAGTGACTCATATGTCCTAGATGTTAGACAAATGTCTTGTCCTTATAGATGGAAAAGGATCCACTTTATGACAATCTTAGGAAACCCCACATCCTAACTGTTTATCGTATATCGTACGATCAGTTTTCGTTAAATATTATTTGTGTTTAATTTTAAATAATAAAAATTAAATGATTTCTAACTGCACGATACATGATGAACGGCTAAGATATAGGAATCCCTAGAATCCCCACAATATGGATCCCAATGGGATCCAATTCCCTTATAGATGACCTAAGATGTAAGGCGTAGGTTGTTTTCCTGGTTGCTTTTTAAATTAAGTAAAATCAATAAATGTAAGGTTTGGATTCAGTCCTACCTACCATGAGTGACTCATATGTCCAAGATGTTAGACAAATGTCTTGTCCTTATAAATGGAAAAGGATCCACTTGATGACAATCTTAGGAAACCCCACATCCTAACTGTTTATCATATATCGTACGGTCAGTTTTCGTTAGATATTATTTGTGTTTAATTTTAAATAATAAAAATTAAATGATTTCTAACCGCACGATATATGATGAACGACTAAGATATAGTAATCCCTAGAATCCTCACAATATGGATCCCAATGGGATCCAATTCCCTTATAGATGACCTAAGATGTAAGGCGTAGGTTGTTTTCCTGGTTGCTTTTTAAATTAAGTAAAAACAATAAATGTAAGGTTTGGATTCAGTCCTACCTACCATGAGTGACTCATATGTCCTAGATGTTAGACAAATGTCTTGTCCTTATAGATGGAAAAGGATCCACTTGATGACAATCTTAGGAAACCCCACATCCTAACTGTTTATCGTATATCGTACGGTCAGTTTTCGTTAGATATTATTTGTGTTTAATTTTAAATAATAAAAATTAAATGATTTCTAACCGCACGATATATGATGAACGGCTAAGATATAGGAATCCCTAGAATCCCCACAATATGGATCCCAATGGGATCCAATTCCCTTATAGATGACCTAAGATGTAAGGCGTAGGTTGTTTTCCTGGTTGCTTTTTAAATTAAGTAAAATCAATAAATGTAAGGTTTGGATTCAGTCCTACCTACCATGAGTGACTCATATGTTGTTTTCCTGGTTGCTTTTTAAATTAAGTAAAATCAATAAATGTAAGGTTTGGATTCAGTCCTACCTACCATGAGTGGCTCATATGTCCTAGATGTTAGACAAATGTCTTGTCCTTATAAATGGAAAAGGATCCACTTGATGACAATCTTAGGAAACCCCACATCCTAACTGTTTATCATATATCGTACGGTCAGTTTTCGTTATATATTATTTGTGTTTAATTTTAAATAATAAAAATTAAATGATTTCTAACCGCACGATATATGATGAACGGCTAAGATATAGGAATCCCTAGAATCCCCACAATATGGATCCCAATGGGATCCAATTCCCTTATAGATGACCTAAGATGTAAGGCGTAGGTTGTTTTCCTGGTTGCTTTTTAAATTAAGTAAAAACAATAAATGTAAGGTTTGGATTGAGTCCTACCTACCATGAGTGACTCATATGTCCTAGATGTTAGACAAATGTCTTGTCTTTATAGATGGAAAAGGATCCACTTTATGACAATCTTAGGAAACCCCACATCCTAACTGTTTATCGTATATCGTACGATCAGTTTTCGTTAGATATTATTTGTGTTTAATTTTAAATAATAAAAATTAAATGATTTCTAACCGCACGATATATGATGAACGGCTAAGATATAGGAATCCCTAGAATCCCCACAATATGGATCCCAATGGGATCCAATTCCCTTATAGATGACCTAAGATGTAAGGCGTAGGTTGTTTTCCTGGTTGCTTTTTAAATTAAGTAAAATCAATAAATGTAAGGTTTGGATTCAGTCCTACCTACCATGAGTGACTCATATGTCCAAGATGTTAGACAAATGTCTTGTCCTTATAAATGGAAAAGGATCCACTTGATGACAATCTTAGGAAACCCCACATCCTAACTGTTTATCATATATCGTACGGTCAGTTTTCGTTAGATATTATTTGTGTTTTATTTTAAATAATAAAAATTAAATGATTTCTAACCGCACGATATATGATGAACGGCTAAGATATAGTAATCCCTAGAATCCTCACAATATGGATCCCAATGGGATCCAATTCCCTTATAGATGACCTAAGATGTAAGGCGTAGGTTGTTTTCCTGGTTGCTTTTTAAATTAAGTAAAATCAATAAATGTAAGGTTTGGATTGAGTCCTACCTACCATGAGTGACTCATATGTCCTAGATGTTAGACAAATGTCTTGTCCTTATAGATGGAAAAGGATCCACTTTATGACAATCTTAGGAAACCCCACATCCTAACTGTTTATCGTATATCGTACGGTTAGATATTATTTGTGTTTAATTTTAAATAATAAAAATTAAATGATTTCTAACCGCACGATATATGATGAACGGCTAAGATATAGGAATCCCTAGAATCCCCACAATATGGATCCCAATGGGATCTAATTCCCTTATAGATGACCTTAGATGTAAGGCCTAGGTTGTTTTAAAGGTCAGGTATATATATATATATATGGAATGTTAGCTGATGTGCTCTGCTGTTGATATTTTGTGCCTCATTTTTTGCATAATGGGGCTTTATCTGCCATAAAGCCACTACATTTATAGTTTTAAGGAGAAATTTCATCCTCAATGAGCAGGAAAATAGTACTAGACCCACCATTTGGGAATTAGGTTACATCTAACCTCAAAAAACAGTGAGTCTCATGAAAAAACTATCAGTCTATGTACGCGAAATTCTGACACCTCTCCCCACTAGTGAATATAGTTGTACTCGCCTTTTCTTCCTTTTTTTAGTTCTTTTTTTACATGCTTTTTGTTCCAAAAGTCCTTCTCCATTTTATTTGTATGATTACGCTTAAGACTTAAAATGATAAAAGATGTTCTACTGCTTACTTTTATTAATTTCCAAATAAAAACACACTACCATATTCAAATGAAATTGAAAGTTTAGAGACATTAACCGAAAATATAAATAAACAACATACTTAAATTGCAAAGGCATTACAACTTAATTATAAGATGAAATTTTATCTTATCCTATTTCAGAGAAACAAACTAACCCATTCACATCCCGATCAGAGCTTTGAAGCTTTGAACTTGCGTGGGTCGTGGCTGTGGTGATGAATCTGATACAAAGCGTGAAAGGTAAGGTGTTAAAAGTAGTGAAACGTTTTGAATTTGTTTGCTCGCCGATGCAAGTGGAGGCGTTGGCTGTTAGAGATTAAAGTGTTCTTAAATAATAAAAAAACATATGTATGTGGCGCAAGGAAATACATACATGTATATGTGGTGCCTGATGCCCTACCAATATCGTGACGCCAAGTTGCAAGTTACCAACCCAATTTATTCGAGACCACACAAATTCTCTATCACCAATGCAAGTGGAGGCGTTGGCTGTTAGAGATTAAAGTGTTCTTAAAAAAAAAAAAAAAAAAAAAAAAAAAAAAAACACATATGTATGTGTCGCAAGGAAATACATACATGTATATGTGGCGCCTAATGCCCTACCAATATCGTGACGCCAAGTTGCAAGTTGCCAACCTAATTTATCCGAGACCACACAAAATCTCTCTCACCGATGCAAGTGGAGGCGTTGGCTGTTAGAGATTAAAGTGTTCCTAAAAAAAATAAAAAATAAAAAAACATATGTATGTGGCGCAAGGAAATCCATACATGTATATGTCGCCTGATGCCCTACCAATATCGTGACACCAAGTTGCAAGTTGCCAACCCAATTTGTCCGAGACCAAAAATTCTCTCTCTCTCTCTCTCTCTCTCTCTCTCTCTCTCTCTCTCTCTCTCTCTCTCTCTCTCTCTCTCTCTCTCTCTCTCTCTCTCTCGGTAGAACCGTAGAGTGTAGACTTGCTAGGTAGAGAAGAGAAGCCACAGCCATGGATTCGATTCACAAAGTGTTGAACGTAGTCGTCCCTCTAGTAACATTCATTGGATCCCTTTTCTTTCTCCCATATTTTCTCGTTTACAAGCTTATTAGTTTCATATATCGATCTAAATCCACTGAAAACATAGCCGGAAAAGTTATCCTCATTACCGGAGCGTCTTCAGGAATTGGAGAGGTAACGAATTAAAGACATGCATTACATATTTTATAATGCAGCCATGTGTATCATGTATTGTTTCATTTTTTTAATTTATTTTTTTATTTTTTGGATATAATTCTATCTTGTTCATTATTTTTCTTAAAGATCATTTTGGTTCCGATTCCTAATCAATCTAGTTAGTTGTTAGAATGAAACTTTATTTGTTTAAAAAGTTTGATCAAGGTCCCTAGCATCATGTAAGGGATTTAATTCATGCATTTATGTATTCAATATCCCACAAATTATAAAATTTAAACAAATCCAAATAATATTGTTACAAATATAACAAGGGAACTGTTATTAGCACTCCAAAAATCTCATTATACACTTCTTACTAGTGTATTTCCCTTTTCAATTACAGAAAGTTTGGAGTGCAAAATGAAAATTTTGGAGTGCCAATAACAATTCTCATATAACAATTACTTAAAAATCAATAATAAAGTAATTCGTTCTTCACATAGTTCTAGCAAGAAAAAAAAAATTGTAGCCACGTAATTATTAATATAGTGCAAGAAATAACTATTGATATATTCTAAAACATAAAATGAACACATATAATTAGCATGGGTACGGTCATAAAAAATTATTGGTAAAAATTAAATTAAAAATATGGGTACATAATAAAATTCAAAACTATGGGTACAAATTAAATTGAAAATATGGGTCCATATTAAAATTCAAAACTATGGGTACAAATTAAAACTAAAAAGAATATTGGTATAAATTAAAAAAAAGGGATATAAATTACAAATAGAAATATATGAAAAAAAAAAACTAAAAATATTATATTTGAAAATGATTAATAATTTTTTTCATTTTTAAATTGACATATAATGACTTGTAAATAATTTAATATTCAAATAATGACATGAAGAAAAGTTAAGAGACCTTAATAAAAAATGAAAAAGGAATAAGGTTTCAATTAATGAGAAGTAGAAATGAGAGATGAGAACCTAATTTATCATTTTCTTAAACCATTTGAAGCATTTGGCGTATGAGTACGCTAAGAGAGGAGCCCGTCTAGCATTGGCAGCCAGAAGGGAGGACCGTCTTCGTGCCGTGGCGGATAAAGCTCGACGGATAGGCTCCCCGGATGTCATTGTGCTTCCAGCTGATGTCTCAAAACTGGAACATTGCAATCGAGTTGTTAATGAAACAGTCAATCACTTTGGCCAATGTAAGACTCACATCATCATATAGTATAGCTTTTCAGTTTAATTAGTCTCTCGTAAAATTAATTTAATCGTATTAGATGAATAAGAAATTAACCTTTCTAATCAACTTGGTATTAGTTGTTAATGCTTTTTCTAATGAAATAGTGGACCATTTGGTGAACAATGCTGGGGTTCTGCAAGTTAGCTTGTTTGAAGATTGCAACCAATTCTCTACGATGGTTTCAATTATGGTATAATTTAATCAGCTAATCATGTACTTAGGCCCTTCATATATATACTTAAGCTAATTTAATTATGAATATGATATTGCAGGACATAAATTTCTGGGGTTCTGTTTATTGCACACATTTCTCAGTTCCACACCTCAGAAAAAGCAAAGGGAAAATTGTTGTAATTTCCTCTAGTGAATCTTGGTTTTCTGCACCAAAGTCGAGTTTCTACAATGTAAGAATTTAAATATGATTATATATTACCCACGCACACGCGTTAAAAATGTTTGATTAGTGTCTCTCTCTATCTAATATATACATATATATATATATATATGGAACGGATCCAAGATAATTCCAGATGGTACTTCGATTATGTTTTTTTAAACATTGACTTATAGAAAACCTGTGACTAGAAGAAGTGTTGGAAGAAAAATAAATCCAAGACTGACTGACTTCATTTGCCCGAGCTAAAGAAAGATTTTTCAATGTGACCAGAACACATGATGGTACATTATGTGTCGTTATACAATTGGTGAAATATGTGTATTAAAAGTTAATAACTTAAATAGTAAAATTTCTCATCATTGAAAAATTTCTTATATAATCCATGTATACTGAAAAATTTCTCCGAAAGTAAGAGCTTGCACAGAAGATCTAGTGGGCCCAGTGACCTACAAGAATGCTGAAGGGTATGAAATTAGTCATTCAAAGAAGCTGACTGGGTGAAAATGTGTACTTTTTATGACAAGATGATATCTTGAGAGAGTGTAGTTACTGGCTCCTTCGCCTTGTTTTTGGTGGAGAAGATCTGGTCTTCTTACTCTCTAGTAGTTCTGAGTCAGAACTCAGCAGTGAGATACAGAAATTAATAAATTTGAAGAAAAATAGAATAAAAGCTCATCAAAGGCTTATTGGTTGACATATATATATAATGATGGTACTGTAAGAACAACTTAGAGACATCAAAACCTAGATTAGTCTCTTCCTATGAACCGGATTGAATCAAGTGATTAAATCACAACATCACAACATTAATACAGATGTAAAACAAAGTATCGACAGTACACAATGGAATACTAACCTGCAGACATGCTGCTTGATGAAGAGGTCATCGCAGCATTTATACAACCATTCTCCTCTCTGCAAATCTCAATGCTCTCCCAAGAATAGGTTATTGGTACAAAAAATGAGAGCGTTAATTTGTGAGAGCAATGGCTTATGTATATATACTAAGCATATCGATTGCCCTATTACAATCCAATAAGGAATACTATTCCTCGTACCAGAATGAGTTCTTTACTTGTGCAAATACAAGAGTTCTCAATATCCTAATCACAACAAGATTACTCTAGCCAACATGACTAAGACTTCTTTTATGATAAAGTTAATTATCCCAAGACATGTAAGAATCATACTCATACTCTAACATTCTCCCACTTGAGTATGATTCATCACAACAGATAATCATCTCAAACTTATCAAAAAGGTGATCACACAAGTCTTTTATCAATTACACCAATGCACAGATACATCCAGCTTACATAAACCAAAACAATGAATTTGTAATCTCCTTTGTAACACAGAATACAAATCACCTTACAAATCACAATGGCCAATTTATGCTTATAGCAATGCATCTCAATACAGGAGTAAACCAAAACATATACTCCCACTCACATAGCCCAAAATCAATATCAAAAATATCCATCAGACTTAACAATAAACTGTTAACTCAAAATCATTCACTAAAGAATGAACAACATAGTTATGACACATTCAACAGCTTTATCAGTACTAGAAATGATTCACAAGCTCTTATTGAATCGAAAAATTATTCTCTAGAACAATTAATCACAGAAATATCTGGAAAAATTGTGCTGAATAAAAACATAACTAACTGCAAACAAAACAAACAAGAAAACTAACTAAAACACTTAGCTTCCAAAAAACTTTTGCAAAAAACCTCCCCTTTGAAAAGCATTCCACTGTCATCTTCCAGTAGCTCTAACATACTATTGAATACAACAACAATTACTCCCACTTTTCAAAAGCTTCCAATACTCCCATCCGAGTTACATGAGTCTTGAAAATTCCATTTGCCAATGCCTTTGTTAAAGGATCGGCAATCATCAAATCAGTAGTTAAGTGCTCCACCACTATTGCACCTTGCTTAACTTTCTCTCTGACTTTCAAGAATTTCACATCCATTAACCTCGAGGCTAAAGTCCTTTTGTTGTTCTTTGAGAATAACACTGCAAAATTGTTGTCACAGAACATCTTGACTGGTCTCTGTATTGAGTCTACAACCTTCAACTCATTAACAAAATTCTTAAGCCAGACTATCTGCTTCATGCCTTCAAAGTATCCCACAAGCTCTACTTCCATAGTAGAGGTAGAGATCATAGTTTGCTTGGCACTTCTCCATGAAATAGCACCTCCATTAAACATGAAAACATAGCCACCAATTGATTTTCTTTCATCCAGATCACCAGCCAAATCAGAATCAGTATAACCAACTACTTCCAGTTCATTTTCCCTACCATAAACTAACATGAAGCTCTTTGTTCTCTGTAAATACCTTAATACCTTCTCAGCAACCATCCAATGTGCTTCACCTGGATTAGATTGAAATCTGGCCAGCAAGCCAACAATGAAAGCAAGATCCGGCCTAGTACATATGTTGGCATACATTAAACTGCCGACCAGAGAAGCATACGATTTTAAACTCATCTTTCTCTTCTCCAACTCGGATTTAGGACATTGATCTCGAGTGAATTTGTCTCCTTTATTCACAGGTACATCAACACCATTGCAATCTTCCATATTGAACCTAACCAAAACTCTCTCAATATATCCCTTTTGTGATAGCCCCAGAAACTTCTTTTCCCTGTCTCTGATTATCTCAATCCCTAGGACATAACGAGCCTCCCCTAAATCTTTCATCTCGAAGTTAGAACTAAGCATAGTCTTGGTTTCGTGTAGCAATTGCAAATTAGAACTAGCTACCAAAATATCATCCACATATAGTACCAGGAAAATGAATTTGGTACCTTTGAACTTAGAGTATATGCAGTCATCAAGCTTGTTCTCAGTAAACCAGTGTGCAGTTACAACTTTATCAAATTTAAGGTACCATTGTCTAGAAGCTTGTTTGAGTCTGTAGATTGACTTATTAAGCTTGCAGACCAAACTATCCTTCCCCCTTTCAATGAATCCAGGTGGCTGCTTCATATGAATAGCTTCTTCTAATTCACCGTTGAGGAAAGCCGTTTTTACATCCATTTGATGTAATTCAAGATCAAAATAGGTTGTTAATGCCAAGATAATCTGCATAGAGTCCTTTAAAGAAACTGGGGAAAAAGTGTCACTAAAATCAACCCCTTCTTTCTGTGTAAAGCCTTTTGCTACCAGCCGAGCCTTGTACCTTTCAATTCTACCTTGAGCATCTCTCTTGGTTTTGTAAACCCACTTGCAACCTATTGGTTTAGTTTTAGAATCAGATTCCACCAAAGTCCAAACATTGTTCTTGGACATGGATTCCAATTCTTCTTCCATAGCCTTCTTCCATAATATTGCTTGCGGACTTGTCATTGCCTGAGAATAGGTCAGTGGATCATCAATATCTCCTAGATCGAATTCATTCTCTTGGAGATATACATAGTCATTTGAAATAGCCAGTTTTTTCACTTTTGTTGAATGTCTCATAGGTTGCTGCACAGGTTGATGATTGAGTTCTTGAATTTCTTCAGTCACAGATTCAAGATTATCCTTAGCAACAGGCTGCAACTCATTTTCAGTCATCTCAGTGTCTTCATTTGTAATTGCAGATGGTGTGCATGATAAAATTGGAATCTGTACATAGTCATTTACTGCAGCATCATTATTTGTTTGGTCAATTTCTTCAAATACAAAAGTTCCATCTACCATGTCTGTAACATCTTGATCTTCAATGAACACAACATTATGAGTCTCTTGAATCCGCGAATGAGCCTGTGGACAATAGAATTTATATCCCTTGGATTTTTCAGAATATCCAATGAAGTAACAAGTTGTGGTTCTGGCATCCAACTTCCTTTCATTCGGATTATAAAATCGGCCCTCAGACTTGCATCCCCACATATGGAAATGCCCAAAGCTAGGCCTTCTACCTGTCCAGACTTTCAAAGGTGTTCCCTTCACAAATTTAGTAGGCGCTCAGTTCAAAAAAAGTTGGCAATCTTAAGTGCTTCACCCCAGAGTAAACTAGGCAGTTTGGATCTTGGAATCATACTTCGAACCATCCCAATTAAAGTTCTATTTCTTCTTTCTGATACACCATTTTGCTGTGGTGTACCTGGTGTAGTATACTGCACCACAATGCCTTGTTACTGAAGATATATTGCAAAAGGGCCCTTCTATTGTCCAGCTTCAGTGTACCTGCCAAAATACTCTCCCCCTCTATCTGATCTAAAAATTTTGATTTTTCTGTTTAACTGCATCTCAACTTCAGTCTTAAAGATTTTAAAACAGTCAAGTACTGCTGATTTTTCACTAATGAGAAAAGTAGAACCATATCTAGAGAAATCATCAATGAAATTCACAAAATAGCTATTCCCACATATGGTTTTAACATGAAAAGGACCACAAACGTCAGTATGCACAATCTCAAGAAGGTTTTGACTCCTTTTTGCTTCAAAATTTATGATATTTGTTGACTTTCCTTTCATACAATCAACACACTCTTTTGCATTTTTAAAATCAAGTGCAGGAATCAAGTTTTCCTTTGCTAATTGTTAAACTCCTTCTTTTGAAATATGTCCTAGTCTTTTATGCCATAAACTATATCAAAACTCAGATTTATGCATTCGTTTAGCAGTAATACTCAAAACAAGTGATGGGCTTTCAAATATATAGTCTATCTCCCACAATTCATCATGCAAAATAGTTGTCCAAAGTATTCATTTTGTTTTTCTGGAAAAATTTTATGCATGAATCATCACAAAGAAAACCGAAACCTTGTTTGAGCAATTTTGATGCAGAAATGAAACTTCTTCTCATATCTGGAACATAAAGGACATCTTTCAAATGAAGAACAAAACCTGATTTCATTTTAAGTTTCACAATCCCAATTGCTTCAACACCTACTTTTGTCCCATTCCCCACAAAAACATTATAAGAGTCTTTATAAGTTTGTTTTTGTTTTTTAAATCCATGCAATGTGTTTGTAATATGGACTGAACATCCTGTGTCAAACCACTAAGAATTAGCAGGAATTTCAATCAAATTTGATTCTACACAAACATAGACATTAGTTCTTCCTTTACTCCTCAGCCAATCCTTGACTGTTTCACAATCCTTTCTATAATGACCCTTGAGTTTGCAGTGATGACATCTAATTTTAGTCACATCTTTCACATTTAGACTGTTAGATTTAGAGGGTTTTGAGTATTTTGCAGGTTTAGCAGACTTATTGGCATGATTAGCGAATTTAGATGCCTTACCAGAAGCAATAGCGGTCTCTTTATTTCCAGCATGCACTAGGTTCACATCTTCTGTTTCTTTTCTCTTTTCTTGCCTCTGCCGAGTTTCCTCTTGCACACATTGAGCAATTAACTCATCCACAGTCCAAGTCTTGTCTTGGGTGTTGTATGACACTTTCAATTGACTATACTTCACTGGAAAAGCTTGTAGTATCATAAAAATCAGTTGTTTCTCACCAATGATGACCTCCATGGAATTGAGTTTCTCTACTGCATCCGACATCTTCATGATGTGATCTCTAATTGATGCATTACCTTCAATCTTGTAGGTTGTCAAGATAGACATATATTGACTGATCTCTGACTTCTCAGATTCTTTAAACTTGTTCTCAATGGCCTGAAGATAATCAATAGCAAGATCATGCTTCTTTATTCCCCCTCTCACAGTATCTGTCATCCCATTTTCAAGGATGGACAAAGCGATTTTGTTGGCCCTAGTCCACCTTTCAAAATCAGCCTTCTTTGACTTGGTACTTTTTTCTGTCAAAGGCGACGGCCTAGGGGTATCTAATGCTATATCAAACTCATTAAGAGTAAGCAATAGGCCAATTTCTCGCCTCCATCTTTTGTAGTTACTACCCCCAATGAGAATGGGAACACTAGCAAGGTTTAGAGTCTTTAGAGGCACTGCAGACATGTCAAAATGAAATCACAAAAGAGAAGTATAAGTTCCTTATTCCAGTCTACAATCACTAATTCCAGTCTACAATCACCAAGTACATCATTGTAATGAATCAATTTAGTCATATATACAGGCTTTTCAATGAATTCGAAAAGCATATATTTACTAAGCATATCTCAATGCTCTCCCAAGAATAAGTTATTGGTGCAAAAAATGAGAGCGTTAATTTGTGAGAGCAGTGGCTTATGTATATTTACTAAGCATATCGATTGCCCTATTACAATCCAATAAGGAATATTATTCCTCGTACCAGAATGAGTTCTTTACTTGTGCAAATACAAGAGTTCTCAATATCCTAATCACAACAGGATTACTCTAGCCAACATGACTAAGACTTCGTTTATGATAAAGTCAATTATCCCAAGACATGTAAGAATCATACTCATACTCTAACAGGTACACTATTTGGTTTTATTCTGCAGGCAAGCAAAGCAGCCCTGACATGCTTCTTTGAGTCATTGAGGTCTGAGTTGGGATCTGAGATTGGGATAACAATTGTGAGTCCTGGACTGATTGAGTCAGAAATGACAGGAAGCCGCGAATTTGTATCGCAGGTAATTACAGAGTTTTGAGTCCAAAGTTGGTTAGGTTAACCCATACAAGTAGCTTAGTTAGCTAGCTAGCTAGAGTAACAATTTGTTGAAAAATGAATGCAATGAAGGGCTATGGCATTGCAGGGTGGGTGCAGATATGTTTAAAACCAAGGAAATATGCATTTACTAGCATGGAAACATAGAAATTTTAATTTGCTTGTTTTTTGTACCATATTATACAATTACTGTTAAGAATGAGATGCAATTAAAGTTAAATCTAAAATTTATCTATACACCCTACCTATATCAAGAGTGTCCAAACCCTCAGGCCATCTTGTTAACTCATGTTCCATATACTTTGCTAAAACTCTCATCAAATCTTCAAGAAAATCTCTTAATATAGGAAAAATGTTTGCGCCAAAAGAAAAAGATACTAAATTTTCCGAATTGATAGTGATCCAAATTTTTTTTGCATCCAAGCAATTCAGTGGTTAACAATTGTGCAGAATTGATGATATAAATAGGCAAGTAGACATCGTTGTCACACTCTTCTTCATCACGCCATTTCCAAAAAAGGACTATTATCTGAAGATTTTGATTACATTTAGAAAAATATTGCAGATGCTCTACTAACTTGAAGACTTAAGGTATGCTTAATGTGACCTCAACGCAATGGTAAACAAATCACATTACCTTTTACACTTGTCTAAGTAGCCTCCACTACACAACCAAAATCGTAATATGATGCTAAGTTATAATTCATGCTAAAGTACAGAACTCATAATTCCATGTCTCAACTCTGAAGATTGCATAATCTTGTAGGATATATAATGTCATAGAATCTATGTTCTTTCTTTCTCCAAGTCGTGTGTGACATACGAATAAATTGTCTGAGAACTCTATTCCAACTCTATGTCTCTCACATGCAAGTCATATTAATGAAAGAGGAAACTTCTCATTATTTGTTGTGTATGTGATGATATGTTGTTTTAGCTTCGTCCGAAGTGGATGCCCAGTGAGTCCGCAGAAAAATGCACAAAGGCAATTTTGGACAGTGTTTGCCGTGGAGACATGCATCTGACAGAGCCATCGTGGGTCAGGTTCGGATTTTGGTTGAGGGTTTTGTATCCTGAGCTACTCGAGAAGCTTTTCCATCTAATAGTTGAAACCAAGAAGATGCCAGCCACTCCAAATAAGGATGATTAATTAGGATAAACGTTCATTTTAGTTTCGGATTCTGCAGTATACTATGTTTCATTAAATATTGGTCATATATTTTTATGTTTTTTTTAATAGGTAAAATCCGACACGTATCGAATGTATGTATTGTAATATATCGTTTTTAACAAAAAATAATGGACTATGAAATATTTATATTATGTCTGATTCTCTTAAACAAACGGTATGAAGACAGGGATGGAAACTGTTTTATACCCCAAATTGAGTTTGGGAATGAAGAACATGTTTCCAACAGAAATTTTCCCCGTACCCACTCATATAAGGTTTGTTTTTAAAAGGGGTACATAAGTTGATTGCAAACTCATAAAAAGCAATAGTTTAAGTGTTTTACGCGGTACCTTTCGTACACTATATATATATATATAAAGTAGCCACCCAACTGCATAGACTAGTTTCCAGTTGATCGATAAGAAAAAGAAAAGAATATTGAGAGAATGGACGGACATGGATTCATCGTGGCCGGTGCCGGAGGGGGTTTTAGCCAACCGCCTCCCGACGGACCTACTTGCGATACTTCTGAACGGGTCATCATCTGCCCAACCGCTCTTCTCATGATGCTCGACCACTTTAATAATATCGTTGAAATTATGCAATTTATAGTTGTTGGTTTTGTATGCATTCTGAACGCATGGAATTTCGTGATCGGTCTGTTGGAATGTAAATTGTTTTCCTGATTGTTTTTCGAATTAAGTTAAAAAGACAAGTGTAAGGTTTGGATTCATTCCAACCATGAGTGACTCATACGTCCTAGATGTTAGACAAATGTCCTGTCCTTATAGATGACCTATGATGTAAGGCCTGGTTGTTTTAAAGGTCGGGTGTATATATATGGAATGTTAGCTGCTGTGCTCTGCAATGTTTAGTGCAGCAGCTTTCCTTGCACAGAAATACAAATATCACGTGCCTCATTCTTTGCATCTCCAACGAGGGCTTTATCCTCCACGAAGTTACTACATTTGAAGTCATAGTGACAAAATTTCATCCCCAATTAAGCCGGAAAAGAATTTTTAGCTATTTCATCGCCAAATGTTAATTGTTTGTTTTTGTTTCTCTATGCTTCATTTGGGAAAATTAGCAAAAACCCTTATAAGACTTCGACCTTTAGTTAAAAGAACTCCTTAGTGTTAGTGTTACTAGAATCAACGAGAGTTTTGATTTGGATGGAGCTGCACAGAAAACAACAATGAACAGCAACTGGAGAAAACGAATGGTTTCTTGTTCTTAGCTCTGCAGAAAACTTTTCTTGCAGAGGAATATTTCTTCACATTTCAAAAAGGAGCACTAACGTGCTTTTACATTAATTGAAGGCCCTTAACTTGGGACCACAAAAAACACCACATTTCATCCTAGACACACATCTTTCTAATCTCATGGATCACTCAACACATGGCACTCATGGCCTTTTACTAAACTAGACATTTACACTTTGCCTCATTCTGCACAAGTGGATACACCAATTTAACCAAAACTTATTCTAAAACATTTCAGCTCAAATACTTATAGTTCAACACTTAGATGGAGGACTGATCGATAAATTATTGAGCGCTCGTTGCTAAAAGCCTTGACAAATAGAGTAAACAGAAGTTTGAAATCTGATACAAAACTTAAGTGTCTAAATTTGTCAGAGCCTTGAAGCTTTGAACTCGCGTGCGCAGTGGCTGTGGTGATGAATCTGATGAAAAGCGTGAAGGGTAAGGGGTTATTATCGATGCCTTCCACCTTATCAATCCACAAACTCTGATGATTGGCCAAGAACCAAGGCAAACCTTCAGGCCTTGATCCACAGGTTGAACAGACATCACTACTCCTTAGCTGTCAACTTCAGGATGAAATAACTGGAAGAGAAAATGCTGCTCAACCTTCGCAGGAAGAATTGGACTGCCGGGCTTAAACTCAGACCATTTGGTCATCGATCTGAAACAAATCTGTTCACGTAATATGAGCGTTCACTGTGCATTTGTTTGGTGGTCAATTATGCCGAAATGAGATTCTTTTCACTTGGGTTTTGCAGGAAATGCTTAACATAGCTGCTGAATACAAGAAAGCCGTGGAGGAGAAAGATGAATTGCCACCTGTGAAGCTTGCGACTGCAAAGATGGGAAAGCAAGCCGCCAACAAGCACCTCGAACAGCTTGTCTCCAACTTTACGTTGGACATCGGCTGGACATTTGGAACATGCTAGATACCGTGAGTTTCGTCGATAATAGTACTTAACAAGACTAGTTCTAGCCATACTGGAAAATGTAATTGACCATAATCATTTACATATCTTGTCAATGAAGCTTCGTCATTCAATTTACATACTATCAAACTAGATTTGCTAATCTGAAAAGGGCTTATCTTGCATCATTGTTCTTTAACATGAGGGTCTCGAACCATCTCTGGATACAGATGCTGCTTCAGGCCAGTTAGGTACAGGAGCTTCTTACTCAGCGTATCCCTCTCGTCATTGCCCGCTTTACTTATAAGAAGCGTACGGTTACACCACTCCAGTATCTCAGGGAAATACACCTTCCAGTAAAATGACTGCCAAACCCAAGCTGGTACTGTCAAACAATTTTCTCCTCGGCATGCGCTGTCCACGATTGATTTGGCGGCCTCCTTCACCGGAAAGATCGGTATTATACTTACTTCAAGCTAAAACCAACGAAACCAGCAAAAGATGATACATGGTGGTCCAAATAAAAAGCATTATAAAACCTGAATTAATCACTAACAATAACCAAAAGTATATATATAACTAGGCAGGCTTACATCTCTCAATTCTAGATCTAATACCACTTGGCCTTCCTTGGATAAGAATTTTCCTTGCGAAATTTCCGATTCAATCATTCCCGGAGTCACGATTGTTATTCCAACTTCCCTCCCAATTTCAACTTTCAACGTCTCGTAAAAGGCTATCGCTGCTGCTTTTGTAGCCTAATTAGCCAAAGTGAAATTCAATCACTGATGATTCACAGCTAAATACAGCAAAAATAAATACATTTCACTTGGGAATTAGCATGTTCATGAGGTCAAATGTTCACTTTACTTACACCATACATGCTTAATCGTGGTGCACGCAACCATCCGGCAGAGGAAGTGATCGCTACGATCCTCCCTCCGCTCCTTTTAAGGTGTGGAATGGCAAAGTAGGTGCCATATACTGAGCCCCAGAAGTTTATGTGCTAGCAAATGAAAAATGGAATCACTAAATATAACAATAGTTAACCTAGCTAGGTATAGCAAGTAGCAATTGACGAAGGCTTTGTAAATTTTAATTACTTAATTACCATGGCTGGCGCTAACTTAGTGACATCAGTGGTTTCTTCAAACAAGCAGACAGGAACAATCCCAGCATTGTTCACTAGGTGATCCACTGTAAGCATCATTATTTAGAGTTAATCCAATATAAACAGATCTATGAATTAATTTGATCATGAATTGAGAAAATTAATTACAATTACACAATTTATAATCACTTAATTAATTAAGTGCACTTACAACGTCCAAAATGATTCACTGTTACATCAACACAGTGCTTAAAATCTTCAACCTTTGAAACATCTGCAGTGATTGCGAGAACATCTCGGGAGCCAAAGCAAACGGCTGTGTTGGCCACGTCACGGAGTCGGTTCTCTTCTGGCAACAATAGCTAGACAACCTCCTCTTCTAGCATACTCATATGCCAGATGCTTCAAAATCCATCAAACACAACTCTATATCACTTAAAACAATCCTTTTTTTGTCCACACAAACCAACACATTTTCTAACGCACTTTATTATCCTACTATCGTATAGTAGGACTCACCCATATTAACAAGTGCGTCGTCTAGTGTTTTAGTTGCGTGTCTAACTAACACTACCAATAATAAAATACAGCATAACTCAAGCACTAATCAATAAGTTAGTAAGCTAATACAGTGCTAGATGACACTCTTGTTTGGCCTCGTTCCAAATTTAAACCCATGATTTGAACGGTTACTAGATGACACTCTCGTTTGGCCTTTAAACCTATGATTTGAACGGTTAATATGAGACACGTATAGCAAGAGAATATAACTCAAATCAAATATGAAAATGTATAATTTTAATTTCTATGTACCTCTCCTATGCCGGAGGAAGCTCCGGTAATGAGTATGACTTTTCCGGCCACATCTTCACTAAAAACATGTTGTGCGGCGGAGAGGAGAAGCTTGAAGAAGAGATAGGGTGGCAGAACGAAGAGCAACAAGGCAGGGACATGGGAGGAATTGTAACATTGAGCAACTTGTTAATAATATCCATGATTATGGTTAAAGGCTGGCTAGCTCCTTGATTAATAATTTTACACAGTTGTGATTATCTACATATATATAACTGATATCAAGCAGTGTCGCAGTTGTGATTATCCACATATATTATATATAACTGAAATCAAGGATCAGGAGGTTGCATGAAAAGAAAGCAACACGTAGTCTCGGTGAGTTATTGCCACCAGCTTATTAAACAACCAAAATTTTTTTTTTTTTTTTTTTGGTCAAGAGGGGATTTTATTACACAACAACCATAAAATACAAGCAAACAAGACCCAAGACACCGTACTAACAAACAAACAAAAAAAACCAAAAAGAGTGCCCAAGACTAAAATAAACAAATAGAGAATAAGCCCACTGAAACAGTAAAGCCCAAAGACTGCACCACAACTGAGAAACTGAGAAGCTTCCACTGCTATTCCACCATCAGCATTACAGTCCATCCAAACAAAACCAGTCCACCGCCGCCAAGTAATACCTCACTAGACGCCATCTCCGACCTCGAAAAGCTACCTAAGCACAACCATAAGCAGGGGATAGTCGGCAACAGAGTGAGAGAAGCCAACTACCCGAGTGAGGCTTGTGGAAACCCACAAGCGAACACTGCTGAAACCGGCAAATAACAAAGAGAAAGTGGTGGTGTTGAAAACACCCAAGCCAAAGTAAACCCCAAAACTCTACACATGGTCTTAGTAGGAAACATGACTGAAGATCGGACCATGGGATAGTCAGGATGAGGAAAACCTTTGGGGATAGAAGAATTGGACAGACTGGATTTAAGGAGAAACAACAGTAAAAGCAAAGAGAGAAAAAGGAAATGGGAGAGAAGAGGACACGACAATCGACCCCAGCCGAAGTTAGGGCCGGTGCCTCTAGAGAAACTTAGGTTTAAAAATCTCACACAAACAGTGAGAAGGACTCTTAGTGTGGAGAGAAAATCTCTCACCCTAGAGAGAAAATTTCCAAAGAGTCAACCTTTAGTCGATGAATCCAATATTTCCTTTGACCAAAAACTTCTCACTGAAGAAAGACCTAATAAAGAAAAGAGGAATATGGATCCTGGGGATCCTCAAATCGTGTCCGTTCATCGTATGTCGTGCAGTCAGTTTTCATTTCGTACTGTTCATGTTAATTTTAAATAAAAAATATTTAAAATGATTTATGGCTGCACGATGTACGATGAACAGACACGACTTGAGGATCCCCAAGATCCTCGCAAGGAGGATCTAGAGAGTAATGCTAAGGAGACTAAATTTGTAGATAAAAATTGTAAACTAAATGATGTGTCAGCAATAGAAAATAGCACGTTTAGCGACGCTTAAGTAATAAAACAATCATCAATTTATATGTTATTTAGTTTACAAAATTTAGTCTCCCTAACTTACCCTAAAGAAAAAGATAATTGAAAGTGAGTTTCTGTGCACGAGGAAAGCTTGACTATGTAAGATTGTGAGGAGTTCCTCTTTAACAGATTTTGTGATTATTTCACAAAATATTCCATATATAATGAGGGCATTGTTCTAAAAATCCCCATCTAGCACTGACTAGGCCCACCTAGGCACTAGGCGGCTGGCTATTGTCCCGATTAATGCCTAGGCGTTTGAAAATTGAAGAAGGGGCGCCTAAACATGTTGAGGTGCCTGCCTAGACCGCCTAGGTCACGACTCACTTAGACAGTAAATAGATAACTTTTATTTTGCATTTTATTTTATTTTTTGCAATAAATTGTAAGAGACTTGTTACATACTTAAATGAACACACATTATATCTTTGTTCCTCATGTTTCATTATGTTCTAATACTTAATAATATATACGTCATTCTATTTTGTAGTTTATTATGAAATTATATATATATATATATAAGCAAACACTTATTTACATGAAAAATAATAAATTTACTTAAATCCACCTAGGCCCCGCCTAATTGCTTAGGTGATAGGCCTCAACCCCTGCCTGAATAACTCCTAACGTTTTTAGAACCTTTTCTCTACAAAAATTCTCTACAAAATTAATTAAATTAAAAAGTTTAAATTAATTGTAATAAACAGATAGGTGGTTCGTAATGCTTTTAGCATTTTTGACTTCCTTTTTTTTTTCGGTCTTTCATTCAATGATTAAACGAACTCATATTTTATTAATTTTTTTGCATAGATCATATTTAATCTTCATAGAGTAATTTACAATAGGGAAATTTTTTGAAATGCCATATGAACTCATTTGCCTTTTTAATTTGTCATATGAACTAAAATATTAAGCAACTTGTTATACCAACTTTTCCAAATCATTAATTTGTCATTCATTTTGATTCTGTCAAGTTTTCCATCCAAAATAAGTCATGTGCAAGGAATGTAACTTGTGTTCCAGGTTATTTCGTACATTTCAACATCTTACTCCTAATAAGTTGTCTTAGACAAAAATAATTCTAGGATTTCTCAAAAAATACAAAAAATTGTTGATTTGGTATATGAGGATCTGAGCATTTGGCATTCGGAAAAGAGGAACGGCTTGTTCGCTTGTATAAGTTTCGAAGTGAAGATAACTACAAAATATACTCATTGGGGATCCTCCAATACGTGGTTAAAGTTGATAGATATTCTTTATGTTGAAGTGTACAAAATAACTCTAAATACAAGTGATGTGAAGCATGTAACTTATTTTGGATCGAAAATTAACGGAGTTAAGATGAGATGACAAATTAATGATTTTAGAAGTTGATATGACAAATCAATTAAAATTTTAGTTCAAATGACTTGAAAAGGGTGTATAAGTTCATATGACATTTCAAAACTCTCATTATAATATGAAGAATTTCTATCACAAACATGAAGTTTCATGAAAAATAATTTATGATATGAACAATTTCAGTCATAAGCACGAAGTTTTGTGAACTCAGTAACATGACATTTTGAGGGGGAATGCCTCATTCATTGAGGAGCCAAGTTAATTCCTGTAGGCACATTGCGTATACAGTTCAGCAAACAGATGTCAATGGAAGTAGCCAAATTAGATTTTGAAAAGTTAGTTTTCTCCTATATTCATTTTCTCTTTTTGCACACCTTTTTTCTATTTCTCTCTCTTATTTTCAGTGATTTATTAAGGAAAATGGAAATAAATTTGAAAACTCTGTATTCATTCGAGGTTTCGAATTCGATTATCCGCTAATCACTCGCTATTGCGTGTTTGAAAAAATGACATTGTCTGAGTTTAGTCAAGTTTTTGGAGCACAAGTGAGCTGTTAGGATGCTAATCCTATTCGAGTTTCCTTCTAGCTCACTCTAGGGTTCGAGAAAGAGGAGGGTAATTTGAGATTCACTGATCCAATGATGAAGATTACATCTTTGTTCTACTTTACAATCCCATCCCAAATATCACTTGCAATCTTCACTCACCCTCTCACAATCCGCCGCTGAAGCATCCGCTAGTTCTAACGTAGCAACTCAGTTTCATCTCTTTCGATCACCCTCATATTTCAGTAAGAGGAACTTCAACTGTAATGATTTGACTCCGCTATCGTTCATCAAGGCTTGTGTTCTTCAACTTGGAGATCTTTAAGACCATGAATCCGCCTTCGAACAATTCCTTCTCCCAACTTCTTTCTCTGGACGCCATAACCGCAATTCTTGCAAGCAAGAGCTTCATCGAACTAGGGAGTTTTTCCACGATGTAGCATTCCCATTGAGAACAAGGCCACATATAAACCATGAAATAGAGTAAATCCAGAACTAGGGGGATATCTCAATGGGGTACGACTGCGAGGAGAGATGTTGTGACGCCCGACCAGGAGGGGAAGCATGCCGTGATGTTGGAGCGGCAGCGGAGGCACGCTGTGATGTCCGAGCTGGAGAGGAGGCCTTTAGTCTCCTCAAAAGCAACCACGCATCAGATTCAGCACAACCCTGTGTCATCTCAAGGGCAATTGGAAGATCATGCAATCTCATCTCTATAAGCATTATGCCCTGAAGACATAGAAGTCCATGATGCTGAAGGGATTCAACAATAGAAACTAGCACATGGGCACACACTGTGTGAGAAAATTTTTTATTTTTGTTTTTGAAATAGAAGGAGAGAGGAAGAGAGTGATATAGAATGTGGAAGTGAGAAGTTTTTTTTTTTATTATTTTAATTTTTTATTTATCTATTTAATTTTTTATTATCTTTTAATTAGATATATGTTAGGATTACATGTATGCGAGGCTTTGAAAAAAAACAGCAAAATGTGATTGTGTGAAATTACATTTCTGCCTCATATTTCTTATTCATGTTCTGGTTTAAATAGAGGGTTAAACTGGTAATTTCATAGAATTTTGGTTGACAATGAGTGTTTTATTAATTAGTAGAGATGACCTTTAAACAGTAAAAACTACAAATTGATTAGGTATTACCTCGAAATTCGTTAAGAATTTTTGAAACTGCCTCATTTTTGCCTTCATATTCCGAACTTCTGTATTGTCTGGAGAAGAAAGAGCAGCTCTGGCCTCCTCAGGAGAATGACCTATCGCATTCTGTACAACCTAAAGAGCATACAGCTAGTCAACATATCAAACTCCGACGAGTATGTTCATCATGGATAAAACCTCAGCTAAAACTTACATTGTGATCAATGAGAATTTCAGAAATGAGAGTCCCATCATCAACATATGCTCCAAGCTCGTACATGTCACCTGTGTATTGGAACTTATTCACACCAGTCAAAACACACTGCAAAATTTGTTCACATTTCAGTAATATGGTTATTATAAATCTATCATCTGATGGAAACAAATAACAGAAATGTGTGTTCACCTTAACCTTCCCCCGAATAGAACGAATGTTCATTGTAATCAACTTGGCTGACAAACTAGATAGGTAATCGAAAGGACGTTCGCGGTCTCCAGATAGTATTTCTGGGCGGTCAAATTCATTAACAACATCGGTTTCCTCATCATTCAAAACAGCATCTGAGGATGCGTAAGCCCTATGAGTTTCATTCTCATCAATCATAGTGATATCCTCGTCATTCAAAATGGAATCTCTGGTATGATTTTCTCCCCCAAAATGAACAGCATCCATTTCAATATCTTCAACAGCATCCTCAAAGGATGGGTTAGGAATGGCATTTTCAGGTACTCGACTTTCCCTGCTATGACGAACACTAGACCGAACTGTATTTAAATGGAGATTCTCAACACCAAAATCATCAGATAATGGGTTAGGAATAGCATTTCTTCTGCTATAGGGAGTGGTATCCATAGGCATCTCGTCAACACTACGGCCACCAGTAGATGATGGGTTAACAACAGAATGTTGTCCACTGAGAGGAACAGTAAACTCTTCAGCAGTCACTGGGCTGCTATTTCTAGAAGATACAGAGCTGGTAGTTCTACTAGATACGGAGATGGTGTTTCTAGAAGATACGGAGCTGGTATTTCTAGCAGATACAGAGAAAATAGCACCTACATATCAAAAATGGATGCAACAAAACTTAGAATAGAATGGAAAGACGTAATATCATAAGCTATACTTGTCAACAACTTCACAAGTAATGACAGGAACCAACTGCCATAGAGAGCGAGACAAGGAATTCAAAGAAACTAGACAAGAGTTGCTTATGCTCTACAAAGCCCCACAACCACACGCAAATGGAGTCGTTGATATACCTTGGTTGGGTGCTTGAACAGAGGTCGGGGCTTCCATTGTTGAATTATTGGTGTGTCCAGCAGCATTAACAGTATTGGGAGGCCATGCAGCAAGAGCTAACCTAGTCGATAGAGGAGGAACTACTCCATTCCTGGTCCTGCATAACAATAACACATATTATCAAGTTCATCAGTTAAGTTAGTTAGCTTGTATAAAGTGTGTAAACTGTAATACATGGTAATGTAATGACCTCCTGTAGTCCAGCATTCCCTTACTAAAAGAAATTAGGAACCCGAAGAAAATTGGAAAAAATAACAACCAAGATTGACCAGCATACTTCTGAGCTTAAAACCTTAAACTGCAAGAGGAATAAATTTTTGCACTCCAATTTGACGATCAAACTAGTTTGATGTAAGTTAATCATCACCTAAGAAAAAAATCCATCTTGCAGTCCACCAACCATGCAGTCTGTTATCAGTTATCCAATATCATCCACCAAGTTAACTTAAACCCTGTTTATCCAATACCACTATAAACTTATATTTTGCTAGAGCTTTTAAAGGCAGCAGTGTTTTTTATTTCTTTTTATTTCCATCTATAATAAGCTAAGGCAAAGTTAAATTCAAAGGCATATCTAGTCATGGAAAAATTTATAGCTTATACATCTGAAAATTAATGGTCCGACATGAAAATCAGTAAGTTGTCTTCAGCACTGACTACTATATCATAGATACTTTATAGTTACCTGTTTCCTCTTGGGGGCTTATTTACTTCTTCAACAAGCCGTTGACGTGCAGCATCAAGTTCCTCAACTAATCCTCCTAGAACTTCAATACATTCGGGGACCAGCATAAGAAGCCCGTGGCGTATATGCACATTACATATAGCAATCTAGAGTTTAAGAGGATAATCTATGTTTGAGTCAGAAGAGCTAACTAAGCCTTACGGTGCAATGAAAAGGGTTGAACGACCCATCATTTTCCATTAAATAAGATAGCCAGAGAAAAACAAACCTTCAACCCAGCAGGAGCCAAAGCTTCTAGGGCCTGAATAGGCCTGTATTCCATAGCAACGACACGTTGAACACCGTCTGTCAATGACAATTTGAGGCACCTCTTGAGCCCAACAGCAGTTTTCTGATACCTATTCTTCAGAGGATTGCTGATGTTAACAATCTCATCAACCTGCAAAAAGCTTCAAGCTTTATGCATAAGCATTACCAAATCAAATTCTATTCGAATGGTTATGTTTAATTTGTGCATTCAATCTTTACCTGCAAAACATAGGGTCCAGGAAGATCAACGAGATGAAGAGAAGCTACATTTTCCGGAAGCACGCCGCCGCCAGTTCGATTCATATCCGAAACCAGAAACTGCTCGAAGCAGAGCTTCGCCTTCGTCTCCACATCGAAGTTTTGAAATCCCGGCACGGATTGCCGGAGTCCATGGACGCAAGCATCGAGCCACTCCCTCTTTAGCCTTAGCCCTAACCTCTGGAGATGTTCGCTTATTGGGCAGCCGTCGTATCTCTGTGGAGGTGGCCAATTTTGGGGTTCCGGCGCCTGAGCCATGGGAGGAGGATGTGGCCGGGTAACAGGTTCGGGTGCCGGAGCCAGCGGAGGAGAATATTGCCTAGTAACGGGCTCGGGTACCGGGGAAGGCGGAGGTGACGGCGACGACAGATTGTCGGAGACATCGATGAATTCTTCTTCGGAGGAGGAGGTGACTGGGAGTGGATCGGAGGGGTAAGGGCATGGCGTGTCTAGGGTAACGGGCGGGTGAGTGACAGTATGCGATTGTGGCCCAGGTTCTTCACTTTGCTGTTGTTGTGATGGCGGCGGTGGCGGTTGGTCTTCTTCGTCGGAAGAGTAGCTGAGGCGGAGGCGTCGTCTGAGCGTACTCATTTGGTGGGAAAATGATTTGGGGATTTTGGTGGGGTTTTAGAGAAGACTGTTTTTGCAGGGAAAGCCAGTTCAAACTTTTCAGTTTTTTTGGGCAGTAAAGAAACCGACTGGGCCGAACTCACCAGCCCAGCCCATCAAAGGCCCAATCAAGACTAAATGTTCCTTACGGTAGAACTTCCCTACATCTAGAATAGACGGTGGTAGTATCGCAAACCAACCATACACTACGGTTTGAAAAAGGTAAAATGCATTACAGTATGTAATTAGCTTAAGATACTGTCACTGTTTAACCACCGGCTGGCACTACCGTTAACCCGAAAGCAAACGAAAGCAAAAACGGACTCGACAGTCATTCTGGAAACACCACAGAAGAAGCAAGATAAAGGATTTGCATTGAACCTTGGAACATAAGCATGTGAAGAAATGATAAGATCCCAATTGTACAAAGTTGTTCTGTTCCTCAACCCTAATCTGCTAACCAGCCTAACCACATCAGCAAGAATTAGAAATCACCTAAAGATACAAAGGAAAAACATCCCGCTCTAGTCTACCCTACTCTACAATTAACAATACAACAAGCGTTTCAAGATTTCATAGCGGGATGACCCCTCCATCTAGGTACACTGGAGTCGAGTGTTCTTTGCAAGACATTAATCCGCTCTTGTACGAGAAACTCTTCTGCGTCTTCAATTTGAGCGTGTTCCTTCTTCATGATCTGCTCCAGATCTTTGACGTAATCCAGTTTGAAGTGCAGCTTTTTCATCTGCGTAAACATTCATGACAAAAAGGGAAAAATGATAGGTGTATACATAGTAAGAATTGCAGCAACAGCAACTGGGAAGAATGAAGAAGTAAGGGAACCCAAAATATGAGAAAACAAAGCTACTATATACCTGCGTCCCAATTATGGTTGCCATGAGATATTCAATCTGTCTATCCTCCTGATCAGCCAATAATTTTGAGTGAGCGGCAGCTGCTCCAAGAGTTGTTCCAATGGCAGCTTTAATTTGCAAAGTTGGAGGTATGTCATCTTTTCTGAAGAGTGCATCCTGACTCTCTGAGAAATATATAAACGCAAATTCAAATAGAGATGGTTAGGACTGAAATCATGCAATAACTAATTAGCCAGCAAAATAATGATGCGACTAAGTGAATACGGAAAGCTGTAATAGAAACCAACCACCAAAAAAGAGGAGTAAAACAACAATCACCAAATACTAACTTTAGTTATACAAACATCTCCATTATCATGTATTCCAAATTGATTGTAATAAACTGTAAAAATCGTGTCTTGTTTGGCTTTACTGCAAATACCTGATCCGGCTGGCTTTTCCTTCATTTCTGAATCCCTGTCTTGGACTCTAAAATTGATAACAAACAAGAAATTTCAGAACTTTAATACCAAACATAATACAACTACAAAAAGACCTATATCTGAAGCATCAGTTGGAAAAGCATATTCCAGTGGATAGATAACCTCTCTGTCTCACAGTTTTTAGCAGGAGACCACACGCCATTAGTAAGAGAATCATCATCAGTATCAAATATCTCCCTTGAACATGAGGTTTCCTCACAAATCACATTAATGGCCGCATCAGCTGCAGCAGCTGTGATTTGTGGACCAACCATGGTTGATATGGCAGCTACCTAAAGATGAAACAACATTAATATTTTGTAACAGAATAAAAGGCCATAGTTAGCATATGATAGCATGAAAGACTAGTTATGAAAAAGTAAAAGACGCAAAATAATGAAATCAATCTCCACAATTTTCCTTCCTCATTCATGTGTGCATGTATATATATATGTTTCCAGCCAAGATTTGCCGAAGCATTAGCAACTTAACTGGAGCCCCCATAACCATTTTAGTCTAAACTTTATAGGGTTGGGAAGTTAGGTACCTGTTTAATCAGTGAAGTACTAGCATCCGAAAGAGAAGCAATGCGCTGTCTTTTCAAAGGTGAACCTTCACTCAAAGTGTCTCTGTTCTGCTTGCCATCATCTGTCTGCTCATGCAACTGACCCTTGGTTATGATAGTCTCTTGACACCCTGTTGAAGATAACTGAACTTGCTCCGTAGAGTACAAATTAGCACTAAAGCCATTAGAATTGTCTTTTCTGTAAGCAGAACCCAATACAAGCTCCCCAAAAGGTAGATCAATGAGCTTAGCAATACAATCAAATTTGGTCTTTGTCTGAACATTTTGAGCAACAAGCTCCCAATCATCCCCATACTTGAAAACAGATTCTAAAAGTAATAGGGTTTCTGATTCAGTCCATTCAGCTCCATTAGTACTGCTCTTTTCAACTGCCTCTTTTAACTGGAAATCATCCCTCGGTTTGTTCTCCTTCTCCCCATAGTTTCCATTTTCAAAACAATTTACGCAAATCAGAAAATCACCCTGCCAAAATAGTAATTCAAATACAGAAGTCATTAAGTTTCAGTACAAAAAGCTAGCGATAAATTTTTTACAGATATATTGAACGAAAAATACCTTGCTATACTCGTAGTGTCCAGAATCGCAATGTCCCCCACAGTTTCCACAAACCAACCCCTCCTTCTTCAAATCACCAAAAACATTAGAGTATGATGCCAACGGAGGAAACCCAACTCTACTCACACCTCCACCACCCCCAACCTCCCCAACTTTAGGTTGACCCGAAACCTGCGAAATGGGTTTAATGGAATTCGGCATTGCAGCCACCCGGATCCCATTGGGAACTCCATCCTCAACCTTAACCTTACACCTCTCACCACCCCCAGCAACAAAACCCCCTCCACCACCTGAATTCGCACCGAAATTAATCAACCCCCACTTCTCCAAGAAATTAAACACCTTATGAAGCAAACTAACATCACCCACAAGCGACTTTCTAACCTCAGTGAATGTAATCTTCCTAGAAGGATCTTCCCTGTACTTATTAATGATAAAATCCCTGTATTCCTTGTACGTTTTCGGAGTTCTCGAGATCGAGCTCCCATCAAAATACTCTTTCAACGCAATTCTCTCAGTTTCATGAATCTCATCCCACCGAAACCAGCCTGAGAACAAACAAAACCAAAAAGCTCATACCCTTTTCTCAATCACATACTTTAACCAACAATGCAATAAAAAATTAACGGACCCAGTTGACAATTTGGGATGATTGCTTCGTGGGGAGGAGCAATTAGGGTTTTGAATTGGGGATAACGTTAGGGTTTTTGAAAAGGTTAAAAAAAAAGAGAGAAGGGGGGGTGGGGATGCGGAAACTTACCAGAGTGGCGTGGGATGGAGTAGAGTTCGAGCTCTGGTTCGTCGGGTTGGAGCGGATTAGAACCCGGGTCGTGTGGAGCGAGTTCCATAACTTCGGACCAGGTAATTGAGCCGAGTCGTGTCGTTGAGTTGGGTCCGAATGAATTCTCTCTCGCTCGCCCTCTAATCTCAATAGTTTGTGCTTCGATCAATGGCTTGATCAGCGATTCGAGGGTCACGGACCAATCGGATGTATATCCTGCGGCGGAGGTGTAGGTTATGTTGTGTAGGAATTATATGGGATCGGGCCTTTAGAGTCCACATGAGTTTCACGTGACAAAAAAGAAGATTATTACAACTTTAATTTATGATTATGCTAAATAAGAAAATTAAATTTTTTTTTCCCCTTAAATATTAAGAAAAACTAATGAAAATAACTTGAAAACTTTGAGTTTTAACAATAAGAATAAATTAAAGAGTAAAGTGAATAGTACCAGAATTGACCTTTTAGTGTAAAAATGTGATTTTTCATTAAAGTGAATAATACTAGAAGTTTTTCATTAAAGTTCCCTAAATATTATGCAAAACATCGTATGTTACAGTAGTAACAAAAAAATAAAAAAATCCTAAAGCACGTTGATCTCCACTGATTCTCCTGCCTCCTAATAACTAATTAGTTAATCCACTAACAGTGTCATTCTACACAAAAACAAGACATTGTGTTGTCTTGGTGGAATAACTTTAATTTGTTTTTCAGCCAATATTTCCTTGTTTTTGATCTATTCGAGAATTTCAACTCATGAGTTTCAAATGGAGAAGTGAACATTCATCGTCTCTCCTTCAAGTGAAAATTGAAAACAAAGTGCCTACTTTCTTTTAAGATAAGTACATAACCAATTGGTCAAAGCGCGGTCTAGTTTCCACTTAATTGAAAGCGTTTTAGGTGAATTCAATGTTATAGCACAATGTGGAGTGGAGGCTGATTAATGGGCGTCTTACTATCATTGTACTCTAAACTTTAAGATGGTTTGTTAAGATAGTTTGCTTAATTTACAAAGTTAAACCAGTGCAATCAGGTTAGAGGACGCACTTTGAGCTCGTTTGAAAAATGCTTTTAAAACGACTTAAAACACTGCACTTCAAGTGCTTTTTAAATCCAAAATCATTTTATCTAAAAACGCTATCAACCTTTTTTTCTCCCCGGGTTCTTTCTCGCCCGTTACGAGAGAGTGATCCGGATGAGGATCTTCTCACACAGCACCAACTTTGGATGCTAAAGACTCAAAGCAGACAAACAATGTGGCAATGGATGGAGAACGTGAACTAGTTTGGATGAAAATAGATAAGAGAAATATAGATGCTACAAATGTTCTAACAAAAAGCATATCAACATTCCAACAAGAGTGATATAAAGTTGAACTCGATTTGTAAGTGATAACAGGGGGAACAGACTAGTAGTCTCGAAAGGAAAATACAGAAGCAAGTAAAGAGCACCCTCGATGGACGATACTCTTAATTCAACCTCTGTGCAGCTTCCTTGGCTAAGAGCTTCTCCTTCGCCTTGGTCTTGGCCTGTGATTTGGCACCCATGATACCGCCTCCCCACTTCTTTCTTAACTCTTCGTACTTATCATTGAAGTTGGCCTAAATCACATACAATTAACGATGAGGAGCGGTAAATCAAGTGTTTACAATCTGACGGGTAAAATTGTCAAGCAAAGTAAAAAAAAATTCAATCTTTCAACATACCTTGATAGCCTCCAGAATTTTGCTGAACTCAAGCTTATCCTCATTCTTAACAGTTGTCAAACAAAGTGCAGCAG